TATCACGTACGTATGTAAGAATCACTTTCTGTCGTGTCTAACACAATTAAAAGCGCGTTCCCATTATGTCGTAACGTTTTATTTATCGTTGGACGACTGTCGCGTTTAGTATGTTCCCATATCACGAGTAAATGTCGTGACTGTGTCGTAGACTTTTATTTTAACGTTGAACGACTATCGTGTCTAGCTGTTCCTACTAAATCATGACGACAATTTCTCGTTTCACGGCAGCCGCCTAATCGTTTGCACGACAGAATCGTTTGAAGCTACGATTATCTGTCGTCACATTTTAATCGTGACGTTTTATTTATCGTCTGACGACTGTCGTTCTAGCTATTCACATTGTCTCGACAGTCTGGTGTCGTAGCATCAAAAAAGTCATGAACGACAGTTAATCATGTTGCACTATATGTGCGAACGACTTCATTTAAATATACAAGCCACAACACTTTAAACTGCACGACTCGTCACGACATAATGGGAACGCCCTAAGTTAACAACCCTATACATTTATTATCATAATTGAAAAACTAATGCCGATAGACCTTGAATTACTAAAACTAAGAATCAATCCGTGCAGACTGAGAGTAATTGGGATGCTAGTTGCATAAGATAATTAATGATAATTGGCATGATTAGATCTGTTTTAATTAGAGTAACAGCGGTATACGCAACTGGCCCTTGGGTCACTTACTGAAGGTGTTTCAAAGTATGTAGATAACAATAGCACCATATATATTCGGCATTGACAATATACTATGATATATATAATATGACGATACCCTAATCTACCACTTCTTAACCAGAGGAAACCTAATATTAAATTTACCATGAGCTTTTCGGTGAAGGAAAACATCCCCGCACTACATCCCCTTTACAGGTCCCATGGTCAGTCAACCGTGACCATGGGACCAGTAAAGGAACCGGAAAAGGTTGTTTTATTTGAAAAAACAAATATACGCGATTTAATTCCGGAAAAGTAGTTGCATTTCCTATGTATATATAGATAATTTTTTTTAATTTCAACAGGGTAATCAAATAATCGCAAATAGTCCCACCGGGAAGATGAAAAATATTTTTTCTGTGTGTTCGATCTTTGGATTCATAATCAAACAATTTTAAGTAATGCCTTGAGCCCTAGACACTTTTGATTAGTGTATTTGTTACAATTTTCACACACACCTTCCGCCGCATCAACACTAATCTGCTTTATATGCTTCGACCAGCAGCGTAACGAGTGGGTTAAAGGAATTTTTGGCCCGGCCTTTATTTATGACGTCCTTAATGTGATCGTGGTAAGTTCGCCATGGTCAGCCCTTTCCAAATTGCCCACTTGACCTCACACTCGCTATATAAATCTGTTTCAACAATCTTCTTTAATGAATCCCGTTCTCTAACTTTGTCACTACTTTTGCACGCCTAAACGCTCCATTACCTGCCTCCGTGGCCGAACAGTTACAATGCCGGAATGTCACATAGGTCCCAGGTTCGATACCCGGGCTGGGAGAAATATTTGGATAGGCTACATTTATTTTTCTCCTGAGTTTGGGTGTAATTTGTGGTTGTCTATGTGTATGTCCATGGCACCCGCGACACTCCTTGAACTATGCGGTTAAATCAGGAAAACTTTGTGAATTGGGTTAATAGAATAGGAAAAATGTTAAACGTAACTGAACAAATGTAGCATTGTTATAAGGCTCAATAACACATTTAAAAATGATGCTGCTCATTTACAAATTTAGTAAGTTACGACATAGGCTGTTAACAGATTGACTACATGTTTGCAGTTAATGCGTGAAGTCGTTATCCAAGATCTCGACTGCATGAAGTTAATTACTCGTTAACCCAGAAACTTGTGTGACTTTAGTAACTATTCTGCCGTCTATTCATTAACACGCGGCTAAGTGACAAATGGTCAAATATCCGTTTTAAACAGCATAAGATAGAGCACAAAATTATCTTTTAAAAACAGTTAAAATTAGTTAAAGTGTTCGACTTATCGGAACTTACCCAAACGATGCATAGCTGATATATTATTAAACATTTCAGTATTCTAAAACTCAAAAAATGATTTTGTCACTAACCCGCACTTTAATTTGCGGACGCAGGTGTTGTAAAAATATAAACACCAGTCCTACTGGTAATTGCTATACATATAGTTCTTAAAAATTTACAGTAATTTTATTTAGAATTAGAAAATAATGGAACATAAAGAACGAAACAAAGTACATCAATAACCTTTGCACATTACTGAACACACTTGTATATGAGAAAGGTTCTGGAATTGAATATTGATTACCTGAACTGAGTGCAAAACATATAACTATATACTCGTAGTTGTAACATAATGTTGTAAAAACCTATACTGATAAAAAACAAACCATTTACCGTTTACCATTCGAGAGCACTAGTGCGTCAATTAACGAAGTCATTAAAAAATAATGAGTCAATGATAATAAGTTACATTTTAATAATGTAGCGACAATAATTTTAAGGTTAAATTTTTGAAGTATAAATAGTGCAGAGATTGTCCGTGTTGGTTAATTGCAACTGCTCCCTATAGGCATTTGTACGAAAATATCCTTAAGTATTATTAATGAAGAAATAAAAAAAAAAAGGAAAAATTCCTTTGATCCGACTGGATCACGTTGAGGCAACAGACACTGGTTCGTGTTCAGTCGGATCAATGGAATTTTTCTTTGTGTTTGTTCAATCTTTGTATCTAAACTTTTAACAAAATAATAGATGAATATCATGGTAAAATAAAAATATCCTTAAGAATATATCCTCTACCCACCAAAGTTGGAGACATGTCATTGAGGGATAAGTATCCCGTGTTATTTTTAAAATACTAGTAATAACAATCACAGGACTATATTACAGTCGAAAGTTATTTTGATCATGATCATTTACGGAAGATTGCAATGATTACTCCAATCAATTAACCCCGAAACATGGCGCTGTGAACCGTTACAATAAGTAAAGTATAGGATATAAGAAAACAAGTCTTCCACATATAAAACAGGTTAACAGGCATTAGCAGATAGACACAGTCATGTGAGATCATAACAATATTTTAAGAAATGATAGTTAGGTGATGTTTTAATTATAAACACCCTTGTCAAAAACCATCATGTGACAAGAAAGATTACAATACATATGTTTCAAAAGTAAAAGAGTAGAGAAAAAACAATGTAACTATAAAAGAAGCAATACCACGCTTGATAATGGTTGGAGATTATTCTGAAAGGTTTAATCTTAGATAACAGTCTGGTATGTGTATGTTAGGTGTTATATACTTTTACTGTTCCATTTGTCAAGTTATAGTGACGAGAATAAAATGCAGATATATTCCATAAATAGAAAGATAATAACAAACTTTGATGGTGATATCAGTATTGACTTTGGACATTAATATTTATGTTAATAAGCTGAAGAAATTAGTTTTTTTAAATTACATAATAAAAAATTACAATTGTTCCATCACTATTATTTAATATTTAATACTATTTAATATTTAATATTATTTAACATATAAATGTTATTTAATAGGTTTTAAATTGCAAAACATTACACTTAAACTTAATTCATATGGCAAGAGCCAAAGAGGCCTTTGTAACTAAGAAAACAATGTCTATTCAATCAAAAAATATACAACCATAATATACATATATATACAGTTCTACCATTCTACTGGAATGAAACTTCTCATTTATTCCTTTGCGGTAAAGTAGACGGGAATAGAAATAATATGAAACGTACATTTGACTGTTTCACTGGAATTATCATAAGAGATAATAATGTAAATGATGCAAAACTGATAGCTAACAAGATGAGCTTTAATTTGTAACCTTTGTTATGTGGAGATGGTTTGTTCCACTCTCTGACATTATAATGTAGAATTTGCATTGAAAATTGGTTAACTAGATATGGTAGGTTTTATACGAGTCTCACTGTCATGTTTTACAGTTTTAAAAGATTTGTGAAGAATCTTTTAAAACTGTAATAATTTTAAAACAGCTATGGTTGATTACTCTGCTACTCAACCACCAAACAGGTATCAACAATTGTCAATGGACAAGTTTCTTTTTGGACTTGTCCCACAGTTCTATCATTGTCTTGTTTGTCAATTATTAAGAAGAATCCATTTTCCTTCACAAGTAATAATATTATGTAATAGTCTTTCCAATGAATTTTTTTTATAATCTAATTTGAAAAGGCCTGATACGCTCGAGCCTTTCAAATTCTCAAATTTCAAAATCAGGCTCTGGGCATCAATAGGGCTCATATATCATTAACAATTTCCACTGTGCAATAGGAAATACCTAAAAAGCAATGTGAATAGTAGTATCCGATCCAAACAAACAGAGTTACACAAGTATTATCAATAATCCATATTTGATGTCAAAGCTAATGCAATTAACCAAACCAAAAACAAGTGAATAATGATAAAATTTTAAATTTAAAACCATTTACCATTGTTTGTGCACTACATCTAATTCATATCATTTCCGAATCTGAGAAATGTCACAGGGATTATTTTATCTCTAGGTGTACAACTGATATTCGTATTTTCTTGGATTCAAATAGGACTTAGTGCACAAGCTACATCTGAAGTGGGTCCGAGTTTTCAAATTTGTATGGTTTCGGATTCGGAACAAGTACGAATTGCATGCAGTGCGCAAACACGGTAAAGGTTTTTATATAAAAAAATTTCTAATCTAAATCTAAGACTAAAACAACCTTATTTCTTTTAAAAATAGTCAGGCCTTTATGACTATTAATATTTTAATCCTTAATGTGAGGCTACAATTGAGAGTGTATCGTATGCATACATAGCCTGAAATTCTTCTACATGTTTGTTAAAAAAGTTGTATTACCAAACTACTTCACTCCAGTTATGTCCTTTTTTTATAACAAGATGAAGTCATGGTATTTGTGGTTATGGAACGTAAGTGAACTTCGGCCGCAATAAAATCGTAACTCTTAGTAAAACTTACCTTTATCAACCAGTATAGAGGGAACCATCCAACAATTAAGTCTGAGAAGTATTCCACAATGGAGAAACAGGCGTAGACTACCCAATACGTCAACCACTTTGTGTCATCATCTTTCAGGGGGGATTCCAACGCTTTCATGGACATGTAAGCTGGGTACACGAATCCAATGGTATTGCATACCAATTCCGCACCAAACCCAAAAACTAAATATAAACCAACGAATGCGACCAAACCTGCGACAAAAAATAACGGTCAAGATACTCAGATACCGCTAAGGATATAAATAAACGTAGTGAAAAAATTATCTTACCGATGAAAAGGTATACTCTGTTCACGTTGGTTTGCGCTTCTAGTTTTTCAAAATATACAGTCCAAGGTTTGCTTTTGTCGTATAGGGCACGATCTAAAGCGTCCCGGTATTCTTGGATTCTGGCACTCATGTTGTATAAACTCAGAAGGATGGATGAAAATAAATTCGGAATCTACCGTGGCCACGACTCGATGACAAGAAGTGACAATGACAGCATAATGGCTGCCGTTATTTTTTTTTGAGTTACCATTTAAGATCGCGATTATTCTACTATTACAAAAAATAATTTATTTCCATGACCTTAGGTCAATGCATGAGGTTATTTCCTTTATTTCGTATAATAATAATGATTGTATTCTGGGAATTTGTAATAATATTTAATAAAATCTTTACTTTACTATATTTTATTACTTTATTGGGGTGAAAGAGTACATACTATAAACTACAGTTATATTAAATAAACATAATTATATTATGTATTGTGGGAGACCGATGAACAATCTTGTTCATCTCTTACTTTTCATTTGTTTCGTTAATCGTTGCAAATCGTCAATCTCTTCATTTGTTTTTTTCTTTTTGCAATTTAACATCCCACCCAGCAAACTATCCTGGGACCAGCGCTAAACGCCCACAAACAATAAAATGTAAGTATAATTTAAATACTTTAATATTCAGTTTTGTGTGAAAAACGTATGTTTCTAGATACGCTTTGGTTTATATACAGTGATTTTTTTTAAATGGGATGGTATGGGGATACCCGAAACCATAGAAGATAAATGTGTAATTTTTTGTAAAGATAAATGTAATGTATAAGCCGACTGTTATATCCAGTGGCGTAGCGTGAGGGGTGCAGAGGGGCCATAATCCCGGGCGGCATTAGAAGTGATGCCATCACGCAAAATGATGTCATTGGGTAGGTACTATAATAATATAAGAGTATATATAGGTCTTCAAATAAAATACAATTTTGATGTATTAAATTTATTATTTTAAAATATGAAAAGTGTAACATTTATCACTGTTTGTGCGGCAATAACGTATGGTTTAATAATAAAATCACTTCATTTCAATCCTATGAACAGTAAACATAAACAGAAATAATGTAATTCTTTCACAATTTAAAGAGAGTCGCAATAAGTTATTAAATATAGCATAAGTTTAAGATGTGTAATATTTTGTAATAAGTTTTAATTAATATATTTTAAATAATAAGTAAAAAGTTACCACAAAATAGTTATTTGTCATGCAAGGCTGCAAAGTTGCTATTTGACGCGAGTACTTGTATTGAAACCTGAACAAGCGAAGGATGCTAAGATTGAACCACGAGCGAAGCGACTGGTTCAAAAATAGGTTCTTGAGCGTAGCGAGGGTTTTCAATGCACGAGACGCAAAACAACTTTGCTGCCGAGCGAACCACACAATTTTTCACCTCAGTATAGCTAGGAAAATGGTGAATGGAAGAAAAACAGTTGAACTTTAAATATCAGTTTTTTTAGTTTCTATCTTTAAAGTTTAAAGTTTATATCTGATGCGTTCTGAATTGGCATCTCATTAATTTTTATTCTTGCTTGTACTTCTATCATTTTGTGTGATTAAGTGATTATTGAAATTATTTTAGTTCTTCGACGAATTAGAATAATTAAACAATTCATATCATTGTCAATACAATGTCAACAGTAATAAGAATAAAATATACCAACGGATTTATATCACATAAATGAGTAATGTACGACAAATCGCGTAGTTGAAAAAAAAGAAAAACCTTTTCCACTAGCTAGAGTGGAAAAAATACTTTTGCGCGTAGATTTCTTAGGAGAAAGAAAGTCTTTCCGAGCTAGTGAGGTGAAAAATATTTTAACATTTATTTTTGCGATTGTACATTTTATCGTAGAAAATAGTGCAACTTGCTGTGCTTTACTGTAAAATAATACATTTATTATCATTGTCCTGTCACATATACTTAGTTATAAGAAGCGATTGACTAGAAAGATGCATATTTTTCAAACATACGTTAACTATTTCATTATAGGTAGTTAAGATAAAACCAGAATTTGAACTTTTCAATGTACTGGACAATTTTGTTTTAAGTATGAAGACATAAAGATTAGGAAGCAAGAAGAAGATAGACCTTATATGGTACCTGTAAGTCGTATCGTAATATGTCATGTTATATTAGGAAAAAATATTTGTTTATTTTATTAGCAAGTGCTAATTATTGACAGGGAAGTAAATAAGTCTTGGCGACAGTAGATACGATTAGTATTTTTTTAGAACTTGTTTAGGTATGTACTTACTATAAGCTTCTCGTTATAAAATTATAATATTCTTACAAATATACTTTTTTCTGGACGTGTGTACAGCAAACGTTTCATAAAATTTATAGGCCAAAAATAGTAGAGCATCTGAAGCTACAAAATTTATAGATTAAAAACAACAATAAACTCTCTTTTACTATGATACAATGTGCTAGAACAGTTAGATATACAGTTTAAAGATATAGTAATTTATATCTATTTCTAATAAAAGTTAAACACGTTGTGCTAACATGGAAGATGAAATTCTGGGAGATGTAAATAGTTAGTCTCGTTTCTGTTGTGCACATTAAAAAAAAAATTTAAAAACACAAAATACAATATAACGTTTATTTAACATCACGATGTTTTTCTACCATTAATTTCAATTATTTCTTGTGAAAATACTTTGTTATAATTGTTAATACAAAGAAAAATTCAGTCGATCCGGCTGGATTCTAACCAGTGTCATCATTGTGGTTCATTCCACAGTTCAGTTAGGAGAACGTTAGCCACGGTATGATGGGCTCCGAGTCCAGCCGGATCGAATGAATTTTTCTTTGTGTACGATCTTTGTATTAAAAATTATAACATATTTCAAGGGTAATTTTCAAGTAAGTTTTTTGTACTCAATTTTGGTGACAATTTCTTTTCATTTAAATATTTAAAGAATCTCATCATGAAGTAGGTATTATTTAATATTCGAGTGTGGTAACCAGAAACATTCTTTAATATTTCACGATGATATATTTGAGTAATTAAATAATAAAATTTGTCACCAAAATTGAGTACAAAAAATTTACCTGAAAATGACTGTCAAACGAGATATAGGGCCGTCTTCCAAAACTCTACTCATTGCTCAAGTCAGGACTTGAGTATGATTTAAAGCACTAGCCTTGCCATTAGGATCGTATTTCCAGTGCTTGAAATCATACTCAAGTCCTGACTTGAGCATTGAGTACAGTTCTGGAATACGACTCTCAATCTCAGCCAGTAAACTTTTGCATAGGTACGTCCTTATAGAGCCTCTATAGCGCGCCATAAACGCAAGTTCTGCGCGCGTAAAAAAATACCCCGTGTGTATAGGCTCTCAATGGGGCCGTTTCCTCATACTCCTACTAGTAGGAGCACGAGGACAAATATGTCCTTATGCTCTTAGTAGTAGGACCAAAAGGGTAAATATGTCCTCATCCTCCTACTAATGTACTGTCACCTATATTTATATGTAATTGATATTGTAATACTCGTATGTATGTTATCGATTCTCTAAGCTTATCAGCCTTTTCAATGAAAGCTACTAACGTATTTCCGTATGTACATTTAAGTTAGTTGAGAGTTTCTTGATCATTCTTCTCAGTGGAATCTGCCTTACGAATGAGAACAAAGTGACGATTTCGAGTGTAATTTTTTATTACCTATGAAATAAAGATATTTTTTACTTTATTTTGATATTTTTTTTATTCTAGTTCAGTGTATTTATTAGATACGACGTCACGATAGGAGCATAAGGACATATTAATTCTCGTGCTCCTACCAGTAGCAGCACCCAGTAGGAGCATGAGGAAACGGCCCTCAATGGTCAAGATGTCGGCAGGTAGCTTAGAAGATGGAAATGTGCCATTTTAGACCACATGTCTAAAAATGTGCAAAACAGAAAGGGCACCAATATAATAACATGTATTAATACTAGTATAAGATACTAGGTCTAGTTTTTTTTTACAAAATGGAATGACAATTTACTTGCAAGAGAAAAACTTTGTGGAGCGAAACACACTAACGATGTAGGGTCAGCCGGAGCAAGGAAAATGCGAAAATTGCAAATTTAAGTTGCAAATATAAGAAAATCTAAGTATAATGTCCTCTGAAGAAAAAAGGCACACGCAACAAATCCAATATTCAGAGATAAATGACTTTACAAAATGTTGTAGGTTTTCTTTGGTTAAAAAGTAGTTCAAATATTTTATTGATATTAAGTACTTTTGTATATGTCAAATACATATAAGATATTTTATACAGTAACTTTCATTATATACAATTAAATGACATTTCGTCTCTATTTTTCGGTTGTGCTTTTTGAGCCTAATGTTTTTATCCAACAATTCGCTGCTTGTCAAGAATCCACTATTCTTGGACCACTGTCCAACCCCAAAATGTCCCAGGTTGTTAAATCATTTTCCCGGTGATTAAAAAGCTTTTGAGATTGGCTATAAGTCTAGAAAGCCATCGAATTACTGAAATAGATTTTCTCTAAAAAAATATTACAAAATTTAAGTAAATTTTTTGATCACGAAAATGTATAGGACTCAATTTTGATAAAAATGTTAGTTGTGTTTTTTTTTTGTGCCGAGGGCGTGTAGCTTTTATTACAAGAAGGCACTGTAATATAATATAGTAGATTTTCTTATATTATTGCAAAATTACATTGTTTCATAAACTCCTTCACCCCATTTGACTTAAATTTACTAGAAGTTCGAAAAATGTGATTAAAAATTTTATATATTTTTTTATGAGATTGGTCTCAGTCTTATGTCTATGTCGTGCATAGATGTAGTATACCTATACACTAAATCTATGATGTCGTGTGTCATAAATATTTCGAGTAAATGAGCTATAACAATTTAAAACTTTTGTCATAAAAACATTTTAACATTAACAAAATGTTAACATTTCTTACAAAAATGACGTTATTAAAATTCCTATCTACGTATACAATAAATTTATTGGATTTTTTACAATTGGGTATTAAATGCAATGTTTTAAGATCTTTCATAGTTTTTTTTTGACATACCGCTACATCTCGTTTTATGACCACAGCTTCCTTAGCAGTGGCGTAGCGTCGATTTGTGCCGCCCGGGGCCAATTTTAAATTTTCTGCGCCCTCTTAGTATTTTCACGATTACACAAATAGTTCGTTCGGGCAGGTTTGACTCGATTGTGTTTTTATGTTCACCTGCCGTCGCTACTTTTATGTTGTTCAAGATATCATTTCCTCAAACAGTGGAACTTATTTTCTAATTTTAAGTAAAAAACAACTTTAACGCCCGGGGCAACAGCCCCGTCTGCACCCCACACGCTGCGCCACTGCTGCTTAGATTAAAATATTTCTAGCATTTCTAGCTAAGTAAGTGTACTAAGAATAAAATGGAAGAGGAGAGTTAATTAACATAGCCCAAAATCTGAGCACTTTTTCGCCTATACCTAATTTTTTACGCAAGCTTTCCGTATCAATTTCATAATTCTTTACAGATCTTTCAAAATCACAGATTTTATAACACACCATTGTTACATTATTTGAAACGTTTACAGAAACAGTTTGCGTAAGTATCAATCATGCACTCATAATTTTTATTAGTTTCCAAAATAAATGCTTCTTTTGTTAACATAAACTGAGGTTCTATAAGTGACAAAAAAATATCTTCAAGAAATCACGATTTTTGTTTCTGGATTATCAATATCATTTTGTAATTGGTTCTAACATAGGTATATACACAGGAAAAAAAACTTTATTTTTCTCAAAAACATTACTTCTGTGGTGGGGATAACGACAAATTGAAATTTAAGTTGGTACCCATAAACACAAAAATTTTTCGGTAATTTAAAACAAAAAGGGAACATTACATTTCAAATCAATGATATATTTCAACCAAAATTCTACATACTGATGATAAAGAACCAAGAGATATGTAGAATTACGAGATTATCTAAATTCCATTATACAGCTATGTAAATAGGCAGCTACGTAAATACCACTGTGACAGCTGCGAAAGCAGATTTTCAGAGATATAACTACTTTTTTCTACATGTTGCTGATCAATTAAACAGAAATCAATATTGTCAAACCAGAAACAGAAACTTTAACTTCAGCTTTATACATGGACGACTTTAGTTTTACTTAATATTATATTATCACGATTTTACTAGATAAGTAGTTATGTATTTGTATTTTTATTTTTACATTTATAAAAGCCGTTTGGTATTTTACCTTTACGAATGTCAAACAACATGGCCGAATTTTCAGTTTGTGATTTATTTATTATTCAAAAATAGCTTGGATTTTAAGCTTCTCTTGTAGTAACTGGATACCCGTTGTTTGATGGAAGGTTTAGTGAATTGTTACGAGGGTTTGTGCTTCTTTCTTACGTCTCGACGGTGTTCCGTCGAGGAATGAGGTTTTAGTTCCCTGCAGTCCAACTGTGGAGGAAATTTTTTTATCAATACTTTTGAGTAGGAGTTAAATAAATAAAATTATAGAAAAAAGAAATAATAGTAGGATACTTAGTAAACTAAGGCTTAGATATTTAAAACTAACTTTGACCTCGACTAAGCAAATATGATGAGTTAAGGAAGTTTTCGTATTTACAAAGCTAGCTTGCTTAGATTTAAGCAAGAAATTACGAAGTGAACTCGATAATTCCTTAAACTTAGGCAAAATTGTTTTGTAAATACGAAAATCTCCTTCGTAGAAGACAAGCGTTCTCCCTACAATTTTTGGCCATAAAATAAATAAAATTTATCTAAAGTCAACAAAGGTTGAGTACCTAGTATCTGGGCATTGCACGGACAACGGCACATCAGACTACACATTTTTGTTCGCAAAACGCCTCCAGTGTAACGGCACAAGATACGTCAATGTGTAGCTTGATGTGCTGGCGTGTGTACTACTAAATACTCAGCGCTCATTGAAAATCAGCGCCACAGTCGATTATGGCTGTGGCGTAAGCTGAATGAAGTCTTTTTGCATAGGCCACAAGCACACATACGACAGTACAAAATTTGTAGTCGTTATAATTTTGTTTTTTGCGTTTTGTCTGATTTGTCTTATTTTGTTGTTTTTTTTTATTGTATTCTTTATTTTGTTTATTAATTCTTTTTTTTTGTATCTATGTGTTGTGGCGTTGCAATAAACGTCTATTCTAAATAATAAAATTTATATACCAGAGTCTCGTCGTCAGGTACCCGTGACAACAAATCCATTACCTCATTGTTTGGTATCGTATGAGGTCGCAATATTTTCCTTGTAAATTTGTTTATGCCTGAAAGTTTAAAATTCATTATAGTGTTGCCCGTACGACAGGATATCTTCGAATACATAAACAAAACAAAAATTATAAACACTCAGTATTTTCGTTTTGAAAGAATTCAAAAAAGGAATGTGTATGTTACACGACTACTCCGACATTTGTGAACCGATTTCGTGGATTCTTTTTTGTTGGAAAGAGGGTATCTCGGTTGTGGTCCCGGTGTAGTGGTGTTTTTTTGACGGAACAAGTCATGGGCCTGACGATAAGCGACACACCTGTCCATAACAGTTGCAGTGCCACTCAAAGCTTTAAAACGCAAAGATTGCAGGGATACTGCCACCGCGCCCGTCACTCTGAGACATAAGTTGACAAGTGTCATGTGCTTCAAAACCTGAACGCAATAATGCTTACTGTTTGGCGGCAGAAATAGCTAACGTAATTCAAATTTGAAGACAACATTCCAGACTGGCAAGTCGGGGATGGATCCGGTTTATTGGATTTCGCCTACTTTCCGTGAACCGATTTCAAAATCGGTAAATAGATGCAATTCCACAAAATTTTGAAATTAGTTTTATACAAAAAAGTAATATAATTTAAAAAAGTTAAATATATTGGTCACATAGAGTATATAACCAGAAATAGAGACGAAATAAGGGCCATATATTCCTAGTAACCCATTAGCGATACAGCTCTTATAAATATCAAATCCCGCTTGCACTCAAATATAGACACGCCAACTACTGACCTGTGTGTACGTCTCCGTATATTTCAAAAAATATTCTGTAGGTATTTATTGTAATAAAGGTAATATATCTAACAATGCCGTGCTGTTCTATTCGGTGGTGTGGGAAAAACAGCAAACATTTAATTACAAAACAAACGGAATCACATTTCATCGGTAATTAAATATTAAATACGTAATTTTGCAATTTTGGTCCATTATAGCCAAGCTCAAGTTAACTGGTCGATTTGAAGTGAAACAATTGACGACACCCATTGACGACACCCGTCAATTGTTTCGGACTCGGGCTGGCCAATCGGAGCGCAGTTGTCACAGTAACGATATGGCAGAATAGTTTTCAAACAAATGAAATGACATTTCGTCTCTATTTCTGGTTATATACTCGATGATTTGTTATAAAATTATAATGATTCCTTACCCCACGCCATGAGAAGATATCTAAGGGGAATAATATACAAAACAACCATGGCTCCAACTAACATAACGATTGCTATATAACTCAGATATGGCACAGTGAAATTCATTAAGCTGAAACAAAATAAAATTTATTACTTACGATAATTGCTACTTTAATACAAAATAAATAATTATAAGACAACATCACATACGTTTACGTTGCTCTGATTCTAAAGTAAGTAACTAAAGCATTTGTGTTGTGGAAATCAGGAACAAAGACCACTAACGAGCCAATAACCCCCTCTACACGGTCACTCTACCGCGCGTGATCAGGAGCGATTGCGCGGGGGAAGGCTGCACGCCCAATCGTGCGCGATTACCTGTTTCAAAATTTTTTAAGCTAACTTTCTTTGAAAGAATTTGAAGAGAAAGAGCGTCCGTGTACAGGCTAATAGCGCAGGATAGACCGCGCGAAACTGGCGCGCATTGAAGTGCGCGATTGCGCGCGCGACTGATGAGTGCAGTCGCGCGGTTTCTCCCTTTTCCTTCCAACGTCTTTACACGCGCGCTCAATCGCGCACGATTGCTGTATCACCCGCCTTGAGAGTGTCTGTGTAAAGCCTGCTATTCAGTGTTGTGTAACAAGCGCGTAACGGTCATTTCATAGATTTTTCAGAGTGTATGTTTCAGATTTTAACGACTGTTTTAAAATAATTACGTCCTGTTTTAAAATTATATTTTGGTTTTAATTATAAGTTTTACAATTAGATTTTAAAACATAAACATACTTCCCAGAAAAATCTACGAAATGTCGCTTACTACGACGCCCTTTCTACAAAACACCGACGATATAGTTAGTAAAATATTAATATATTAAAATAAATATAATATAAATATTAATAGCAGTAAAAGTTTTTTCTATATTACCCCGGCCGGGGATCGAACCCAGGACTTTAGAGATGGCGACACCATGAAAACCGGCGTGCAAGCCACTCGACCACGGAAGTTGTCGAGTATAAAAACAATCGACAAATATATTTCAGTAAGACAATAAGTAGAGTGATGGTGCCAATTTATCGACATTTTAAGGGAACACTGTCTTTTAATATACATATTATTTTTTTGTTTTTAAACACATATTACTAGTGATTAGTTTACTTGACAGATATAATTCTCAAGAAAGATTATGATGTAGTATGTTTAATAAAAAAGCTGTTATAATTACTACAAAAAAAAATTAAACTAGAATTTCTCAAAATCTCCAGTAATCGACACTCACCAAAAATGAACACACGTAAATACGGTTTAAATAACAAACGTGCTACTACGACAGAAAATTTTGTTCTAAATCTTAATAGAAATCAATTTTAAAAAGACGTCGAACAGTGGTGCTTGTCGATCACTGACGCCACTACCTTACCTAGTTATGAACTCGTCTAAATAAAAAAAATTGCCGAAGAAGTTTACTCTTTGCTAGCTGGCAGGTTTAGTGATTAAGTCATGGGGATTTGTGCTTCACTCTTACATCTCGATGATGCGTCGTCGAAGGACAAACTTTTTTTATGATAACAAGTTATGGGATGAAAAAGTCGTGCGCCAGGAGGTAACGACACGGAGTTTAGTTTCGGTAGAGCTACTTGTGAAAGCTTTGCTTTTTTATGTCATCAGGCGACTGGACGAACAAATCAAGCGCCTGGTTGTGACACAAAACAAAATATAAACTTTAATTTTTTTTTAAAGACTTCAAAAAAGGGCGAGGTTCTCAATTCGACTGGGTTTTTAAGTCATGTATTTGTTACGCGTTTACTCTGACGTTTCTGAACCGATTTCGATGATTCTTTTTTGTTGGAAAGAGGGTATCTTAGTAGTGGTCACATTCTTTTTTAATTTTTTTTTCTAATACCAAGTGACGGGACGAACAAGTCGTGGGCCTGGTGGTAAGCGACACGCCTATCCATGACAGTTGCAGTGCCACTCAGAGCTTTAAATTGCATAGGTCTCAGGGGCACTGACATTGCGCCCGTCACTTTGAGAGTTTAGTTGACAAGTCCCATGTGCCTGTTGTTTTACCAGCATCCACACTCTTCAAAATCGGAACGCAGTAATGCTCACATTACTGCTTTGCGGCAGAAATAGGTAAGGTACTTCTCTGAACTAACTCTTTCACAAGGCTACTGCTAAAACTTGCCCAATTTGCTGTTTCAAAATTTAACTACTTAATAAGATATTTTACGTTACTCTAAAATTTAATTAATAATTCTTAGGGAACATCACTAATAACTGCCGTGGAATCATCCCTGAGGCATTTAAGTCTGACATTTTTGAACTCTTTATAACATAATTATTTGTATACGTACTTTTTTACAGCCTCTCCTAATGAGGCGACGTAACCAATAGCGTTTTGCACCGTCTGTGTCACTTCTTGTATCGCTTGTAGTCTTTCTTTTAGAGATTTCTTTTCCTCCTGTAATAAAAACAAAATGATTTTTGCAAATTTTTACTTTACATTTTTGACGTAATTGTCTAAATTCGTGTTAAAACTTCGTCTTTACAACAAAAATATCACCGATTTTGTCACCTTCTGGTAAAGGTACCAGAGAGGTAAAAACCGACCTTCTGTGTTAAAGAATTCAAAACGTTATGACTTGTATGTTATGTTGTATATTGCATTGGCCGTGTTTACTCGACTTGGCAAAGGCACTACCATCTACCATCATAGTTGACCTCCTCAAAGATCACACAATGATCGGTATAGCGCAACTTGCATCCAGCAGATTCCCGCCTCCAGTGGTGGGCTTGCAGTCATGACCGCTCTAGGCCCCAGGCCATGTAGTCAGTACCAGCATCCGTTCAGTAGCTTTTGAGTTATCGCGATCAGACAGACAGATAGACGTAGTGATGTAGTGATTACACATTACATTATATATGTGTAACATATCATATCATATATTAGTATGACATAAAATGTATAAAATATAGATTTAGGAAGATTATTGTTACAGTGCGGCCCGCCATAATGAGTGTGAAGTGTTTAGAATATTTAGGTACTTCTTTTTATTATTTTGAGTTAAACCTTGTTATCATCAGATACTTTTTTGTTGCCTACCGTGTTGGCTGCCCCTAAAATCTGGCCGCCCTAGGCCCTGGCCTACTGGGCCTTAGGGCAAATCTACCACTGGTCGCCCCCTACGGTCCACCTTGCGAGTGGTTTGTTCTGCTCATACTACGTAAGCAATCGTCACTCTAGACCTCTTTGGCCTTATCGGCTACTGGCACTACCATGCTCCTTTGTAATAAACATCGATGCTCAGTAATTACGTACAATTTAAATATTTCCTAATTAATTTTATTTACCTTGTCACCGTCGTCTTCTTCATCTTCTTCAGCTAATAAATCCTCATCATCCACTGGCAATAACAAAGCATTTCCTCCTAAAATGTTAGCAATAATAAATTTGAAAATTAAACCGGAAGATACATTCCTAACAAGTAAGTTCCACCCAAAATTACAAATTACAAATTTTTCCGCAACAAAATTTACAATTCAATTAACATTTATAGACACATATGCAGCTAATCATTCGCTCCACAAAACTTTGACATCTGTTAAGGTATTCAACGACGAGATTCCAAAAAAAATATAATAACTAAGGTACGTGAAGAGCAAATAGGTGGTTCATGTCAAATTTTATGTGAAAATTATGAAACTCAGCCCTAAAAACATTGTTTTCATATAAAATGGAATCACGTCGTCATATGCCTTGTATCAAACACAAAATTGTTTTAGTAGATATCTAATTATAATTCCTTAACACGTTCAGACCGGGATCAAAATGGCCATAATTTTTTGTCCTACAGGAAAGATTTTCATACGGCCACCGGTGGGATATCCCGTGCTATACACCAAAAATTTTGTCAGGCGGAGTTTTTAGTTTAGTTATACTTCTTTTAAACTTTTTTTTTACTTCATTGTTATTATTAATACAAAGATCAAACACAATGAAAAAATTCCTTCGATCTGACTGAACTCGAACCTGCGTCTGTGCCATATCAGGGCGACCGCTCTACCAATTGAGCTACCGATCGAGTCAGCAAGCCTTATGAATTTTTCTTTGCGTTGGTTATAGATTTTTAGTCGTCGCGTTTTTTTTACTTTCTTAACAATATTAAATATAATCTAATAAAAATGAGTTACACTTGGTTACACTGTGAAGATTTGACTATTGATTAGGGCGGGAACGTTAACTTCGGCGTTTTTCTCTAGACGGCTTACATTTCTTAGCGCGTTGGAGCACTGCATCCGAAACGTTTCGAATCCGAGACTATACAAAACCATAAAACTCAGACCCACTTCGGATGTAGCTTGTGCACTAGTTCCAATTTTTTTTTACATAACATCAAGTGACAGGAAGGACATGTCGTGAGCCTTATGGTAAATACACACAAGGGGCAATGCTACAGCGCCCGTCACTCTGAGACATAAATTGACAAGTCTCATGTGCCTGTAATTTCACCAGCAACCTTACCCTTCGAAAGCGGAACACAGTAATGTTGACATTACTGCTTGGCGGCAGAAATAGGGAAGGTGGCAGTACTTCTCTGGACAAACTCTTTCACAAGGAACTCTACTGTTACTAAATGGAACTGATACGAATCAGACGTAGTGCGCACACGCTGTTAGTATTATGAAAAATCAAGTGTGGCGTGACTAGAGTGCACCAAAGAAGCCTTCCCGCTAGACGTGCCATTCCTTTCCTGTAAGTCTAGAGCGCCCTAGGCAACAATCGGCGAATACCCTACGCCGAATGGCAAATCCTTTCACCACGACGGCAAGCATTGTAGTGTATTCCATCGATACGATAAGAAGAAGATCAGCGGTACAGTTGATGTCCTAAAATACCAGACGCTCTAACCGACCTTTTGGTTCTGAGAGCCTTCTTACGTATGCAACAGAAAAGTGTAAAACTTCTCGGTTGAAATTTGTATTTATGTCATTCACCAGTATGAATGTTACGGATCGCAGGTTTAAAGGTCAAGTTTGTTAAACATCTTCCTTAACACTGATCTACTCAGAACCAAATAGACGGTTACGGGGTCGGATATCATAAGGCATCGACTGTACACTCCGCCTGACGGGCCAGGTACCCACTGGTGCGGTGAGCACGCGCACTGCGATATGCGTGTTATACGAAGCTATCAAAATGTTAGTTTGTCGTATTTCTATACATTATGCAACATTATTTCATGCAAACGAATTTCATTCCACACACGGTCATCACATACGTACAACATTCATCGTCACTTACTACGAAATAAATTCCTAAGATACGCCTTTGGACTATGTTTGAATTTGCGAAGGGAACGCTTAAACCGAACTATAAATTGAAATTTAAAAAAGGCAATTAAGATATATAAAAATTAAATACACAGACTGAAATTAAACAGACAATGGATAGTATAAATTACGTGAACAAATGACTGCAATACTTCGAATTAATTTTACAGTAAAATTATTGTCTTTATTTGAAGGATACCTTATGAATAGACAACGAGGATGTAATAAGGGTTTGATCTTCTTATATCATTTTTTTTATAATATCAAGTGACGAGACGAATAAGTCGTGCACCTGATTGTAAGCGACACGCCTGTCCATAACAGTTGCAGTGCCACTCAGAGCTTTAAATCGCAAAGATCTGAGGGGCACTACCACTGTGCTCACCCTGAAACATAAGTTGAAAAGTCCCATGTGCCTGTAATTTCACCAGCACCCTTACCCTTCAAATCCGGAACGCAGTAATGCTAACATTACTGTTGGGCGGCAGAAATAGGTAAGGTGGCAGTACTTCCCTGGACGAACTCTTTCACAAGGAGCTCTATATTTAGTACTTAATCTTCTCCGATTTGTCACTTTTGTTAATTGGACACCTATCTGAGTCATTAACAACGTATCGCATGAAGGTGCTGTCTGCATTGGATATTTTTGTAACGTTTAAATTCACAACGTTATTGTGTTTTATAATTTCAATACCACTAATGATTTTGACAATGATAGTTAAACTAGTACTCTTAGTTATGAAAATCTGCCTGATGGCATCCTTTTTAGTAAGAGGAATATTTTCCCCGAAAATTTGAACGAATTTTCCCCCGAGACCGTCACTACAAGTCTAGTTAATTCAAACATAAGAAATTAACACCAATAAAATAAACTAAATATCTTTTATCTTAATTTTCTTTCGTGTTTTCTTACCAGGTGATACGGACTGTGAAGATTTTGATAATAGTTCCACGGAATAACAAAGTACTCACCAGTCAATCTATAGATGAGCCAATTTCTTCCAAATAAGATGAGAAATAGAAAAGGTAACATCCACATTTCATAATAGTAACAGAAGGCTAGCCACACCAGCAAGCCAGAGAATGAAAGTACTTTTGATTCCCATTCGAAACAGTCTCTAAAATACAAAAACAATTTACATAATTTAATATCAACGATTTTGGTTGGTGGAGTATAGTCCATTATATAACATTACGATTTTATTATCCGATCGAAGGCTATACTAATTGATATTTCTGCATGGAATACTTGCACTAGATATGAAAGATACAGAATGTCCACGTAGTGTAAATTGTACACTATACGTGTTGTCTATGTGGTTTTCTTTCCCTCCCTCTCATTATCTTGCATTTTGTCTAGTTTTTCCGACATGATCTTTCCTAATAAATCACTTCGTAAGTTATAATTGTTACGTACTATATCTAGTTACAAATTGGTTATTCTCTACTGTTAAGCTGCCTATGACGATTCGTAAATTACATACTTACTGTAAAACCTTTCCAATTTCAAACAACCACATGATGACGGCTTTCAGTCTCATCACATTTCGGATGAAGAGCTGTCTCTTAAATTTCGCCTCTTGGTGCATGTACTTTGGTTCCTTTGGATTTATCACTCTTATTGCCGCTTTCAGCTGAAAAGCAACATCAGTTCATTTGTAGATTGTGGTTTATTAACTTTTACACGCGTTGCATTACTTTTTTATCAAAAACTCCAAATTGCAAAAAATAAAAAATCGGAAAATATTAATACCTATTTTAAAAATATATACACAGACAGATCATTTGACTCAGAATATTGAAATATTTCCATTCAGATTAATATTGGGTCAAGGAAAAAGTACGTGGCGTTTTTTAATTAACTTATCAACACATTTTTCTTATACTGTAATTAAACTTTATTGAACTATATACATGCTGTTTTGATCGATCACCTTTTGTCATTTTTCTGGTAAAACAATTATGACATCAGTGTAAGACAGGGGTTCCCAAACTTATTTTGTCTACTGCCCAGTTTGAGAATAAATTATTTTTTAGCGCCCCCATTTTTTCACCTACTTAAAAACCACTATAACTTCAAATTAAATTAATTATTGTGAGCTATATTAGCGGAGATTAAACATTCATTCTAAACGAGACTTACTCTAACATGCAAGAGTGTACTTGAGACCTGAGCGCAGTACACAACGGCGCTCAGGTCTCAAGTTATCTCTTGCGGGCTACACCTGCCAATGAGAATGATTATTGAAAGGCAACTTTATAGTATTCAGACAGAGCATCTCTTATTCAAAATAAAACAAACATAATCGATTCTCTTATAAAAATTCTAATATAAAAACTAATGTGAAGGATGAATCTGATGCTGTTTAATAAGGTTGTCGATATCAGGTTCCAATTTACTCAAGAACAGCCGCAAGTCACCACGTTCAGTAACATGCAAACGATTTCTCTTTTTAGTAAGCAGCGTTGTCACAGCACTAAAACCACGTGCATACAAATATGACGATGGGAATGCTATCAAGAATCGTTGAACGATTGACCACAATCTAGGGTACAATTGCGGGATCGGTTTTTGTAGCCAAAATTCTTGGTAGCCATTTTTGAACTTGATTTTTATTTCCTCGTTCGTTGTCAATTCTATAAGTTCTTCTTCCAGCTGAGGTGATATTGCTGTGTTGACATTTGAAAATGGATCCAACACCCAGTCTGGTATTTCAAAATGTCCTGGTATCGTTCGATGAAGTCAATGTGGAGGTTTTCCAAATGTTGGCAGTAAGCAAACAAGTCGTCGTTACTGCAGGATACTGATAAATTCAGAAAATTGTGAAGTCTGCCCATATTTTTTTTATGTAGAAGCAGTTTGGCTGCGAAAGCAGCAACGACATTTTCTGTTTTAATTAAATGTAGTTCATCGCCTTGCAGTTGCAGATTCATATCGTTGAACAATTTATACAGGTCTGTCATGTAAGCTACATCATTCTTTGATATAATGAGCTTGTTGCGCAATTCTGTATCTTTAGTTTCCAAGAACTCTATCACAGAGTCAAACAGGTTGTAAAATTGAGTCAGACATTGCCTCTTGATAGCCAACGAACTTCAGTATGAAACAACAAACGGTTGAAACACAAAGCTGATGAAATAATCTATCATTCAAAGAGCTGTTACGGATTTTATTGACTGCTTTGATGACATGTTGCAGTGATTGAAATAGTCGTGCACTTAAATTTCTAGCAACCAAATGTTGTCTATGAATAACGCAATGTACAGCAAGGACATCTGGACATTTATTTTTTAAGTACGATATGAAGCCTTTGTGGCACCCTGTCATAGCCAGAAAGCCATTCGTAGCAACTGATATAATATTTTTCAAGGGTATTTCTTTCTCATCACAAAACTTTTACAATGTATTGAATATGGTTTCGCCTTTTGTATCGGTCTCTAAATTTCTAGCAAACAATAGTTCTTCACATATTTTCTCATCTTTAATATACCTCACGTAAGACAGCAACAATGCTTCATTAGTTGGTAAAGTGGACTCATCGAGCTGAATTGAGAATTGACTAGTCCTCAGATGATTGCACAATGATTCTTCAATGTTTTCAGCCATTTCATCAATTCGTCTTTGCACAAAATTATTACTCAAAGGAATTTTTCGGACAATATCTGCGGACGGTTTATGAAGCATAGTAGTTATTACTTCCTTTATTGCTGGAAAAATTAACTCTCTCTTCACCGATGCTGTGTGGTTTGCCTTTTTGAGCAATTAACAAAGAGATATTGTACGAAGCTCGAAGTCCGTCGTCACTTGCTTAGCAGCCGCCGAAAAGAGTTTTGCTACACTTGGCTGAGTATTATGCTTCTTCTCTAGGTCTTGAAAATAAGCTACATTCTTGTCTTTCTTATCTGGATGCATTTTATTCAAATGATCTTGCAGCCTTGAAGGCTTCATTGCTTCATTCGAAAATGTTTTTAGACATAGAAGGCACAAAGGCGACGATGGGTTTGTAGGATTTTCAATGAATCCGAATTTAATATATTCCGTACAATATTGCCGTCTCTTCTTTTTTACTTCCGACATTGTTTTGTTGCAGCACGCACCAACAGGAATAAGACAAAAATGCATAAACTCGTTTATCTCATTCGACGCTCAATCGTACTCAACAAGTATTCTATGAACCAGCCGATTGATACAGGAATGCACAAATCGGGTTATTTAACAAAAACTTGTTAAAACACGATTGCCCGCGGTCTATTATCTACGAAAATTATCTATCTAGAAATACTAATAACTATTAAAATGCGAAACACAAACAAACAAATAAAAAGGCAAAAGACACAGGTCTTTGTCTTTTGCCTTATTATTTGTTTGTTTGTGTCTACTTTCATTTCGAAACGGAGCGACCGATTGACATGACTTTTATTTTATTTATTCAATAAAACAGGACAGATAAATGAACTACACGGAGAGAAATATCGAACCGAGTGAGTTTGAGAAATCTCTTAATTAATATTGGTTGATGATCACAAGTTGTAGTCGAGAGTCGAGAGCTCAGTCGGTGTCTTAGGGTCGTATTCCAGAACTCTACTCAATACTCAAGTCAGGACTTGAGTAATGCAGTAGAGCACTGAAAATCGTACTCAAGTCCTCGCCATTAGGGTCGTATTTCCAGTGCTTGTCATACTCAAGTCTGCTCAAGTCACTTGAGCGTTGAGTAGAGTTTTGGAATACGACCCTAATACTCGTATTCGTAACGCTGGTCAACTCTAGCCGCTTTACTTCAATTGCGCACTTTAATCGTATCAGTTGTTGACAGTAGAGAATGGAAGCAATGGTCTGACCAGGTTGGAGAAGTTCATAATGCACGATTCTCATCCAGTGCCACCAAACACAAACCATTGCCTTGTGTGGTGTCAATCCGGGTTGTGTCACTGTTTGTGCAGCTTTTTCCAGGTTGGGGCAGATTTTTTTGCACATTATTGTTATGTGTCACCCACTTTTCATTGCCCGTTATCAATCTCTTCAAAAATGGCCCAGTTTCGTTTCGTTTCAGCAGCGATGCGCAGATGTTAATTCAGTCCATAAAATTTTTCACTGTTAATTCATGAGGTACCAAAATATCAAGATTCTTTTTGGTATCCAGCTTTATGCAAATGTTGTAAAACTTTTTTGGTTAATGTTTAGTTCTGCAGCGATGTCATATAATGAAATTCCGGTCTTCATAAATTGTTTGAGGAATTTCATCGACTTTTTCAACAATTGGTTGAAAAGAGCACGGCGCGTCGTTAGCACTCAAATGTGCAGAACAAAAACGAGCAAACCGTTTACGAGCTACTGGTTTTGATAAAGCATAGTCGCCATAAACACCGCAACTTTTTTCACAAATCTGCGAAGCATTGCCGATTTGATCAAAGTAATATTTACAATATAGCGAATTTTTCTGAATATTAGCTCATTTTTAGAATTCTATTACTTTTGAGCTGAATTGACAAATGTCACTGTTATTGACTTGTAATAATCTACAGACATTAACTTTTTAAATGCTGTATAATATAGCTTGATAAGATCAGCATTAAGAAAGTTATACAATTCTAAAGTCAACTATTGGTAAAAACGCCACGAATTTTTTCCTTGACCTTAAAGGTTTTAAAGATATATATTTTTAACATCTTATATAACAACTTTTGTTTCTTGACGTTTTACAAAACGTAATAAATTTATCAAAAATAAACTTTCGAGTTTTTGTCGTCGTATCTGACACTTTCTAGATTTGTATTTGGTAGAATAAGTTCAAACGTGCAAGCGTCCTCCGCGACGACTCCGTTTACTTACGTTTTATTACCGTTTAGAGCGATCTATTTGAATCTATTTATTTTTGCATGAAAGTAAAATCTAATGAATTATTAAGTCACGGAACAATATTTGTTGTTTATGATGTTAGTAATATATTCTTGCAAGGTAGTTCGTTTTTAAAAATAACCCTGTATAATGTATATCGTCCATAAGGACATAATCTAAGATTGCAATTATTTTGTTCATGTGTGTTTGTCTATTACGAACATACGCCATCTTAATTATTAATACAAAGATTGAACACTCAGAAAAAATTCCTACGATCCGGTCGGAGTCGAACCGACGTCTTCTTGCATACCGTGCCAGACGCTATACCAACTAAGCCACGGAACAAACCAACGGACCTCACGAATTTTTCTATACAATGAATAGCGACATCTCTCGCCAGGACTGGTAGCTGTAAAGGTACTAACTGGGTGATAAATCTGCAATAGATTTCTCATAGATGGCGCTACGACTAAAAAGTCGTTGAAAGACCAAGTACAAAGACACGACACAAGTACATAGAAAAATTCGTGAGGTCCGTTGGTTCGTTCCGTGGCTTAGTTGGTATAGCGTCTGGCACGGTATGCAAGAAGACGTCGGTTCGAATCTGACCGGATCGAAGGAATTTTTTCTGAGTGTTCGATCTTTGTATTAATAATTATAACAAACTAGTGGAGTAATTTCACAAAAAATTATTGAATATCAATTCAATAAAAATTTAATTAATACGCCATCTTTTGAATCTATAATATTATCTTACCGGATTCCATATCACAGTCATTTCCAATTGTATCTGAGGAAAGTTTCCTTTCGCCCTAGCTCTCATCTTCTTATCCTTCAATGCGTACCATCGCTTTTCTCCGTTTCGTATATTTAATAACGGAATTGCAACTTTGCCTAAAAACTCGACTTTGTGATCGTGATCTTCATCGTAGACAGTTATGTCTAGGATTGAACTTATGTCTTTTACAGTACTGAAATAGGAATTATGTTTATTAGTTTATGTATGTACCTGCTTACTCAAATATTTAATATATAAACGAATTTTTACTCTTGGTTGGCCCATTGTCATCGATGTAAGCTGTATACGTATGGTACGTTGCTAAGTATTGTAGCAAAAATTTCTTGCAATTAAGACAGTCGTTAGAATTTAGAAACTGCTCATCAGTCGACTTACAAAGTAAAGATCTTCATCCAATTCGGTGTCAAAGTTTTATACTCCGTATGCGTTTGTAACCTTGCATTTCCTAATTCCAAAACACAGAACGGATCTGACTTTCCACCTAAATCTGCTGCGGCTAAACCTTTTGCTCCGTAGACTTTCACACATAGCCACCCCACTCCACTTGAGTTCTCGTTTAACCGATGCCACGCCTGAAATGTAAAAGATTTTAATAATAATAACGCACTAAGGACACCCTGTGTCGCGGGTGCCATGGACATACACATAGACAACCACCAATTACACCCAAACTCACGAGAGAAATAAATGTAGACCATACAAATACTTCTCCCGGCCCAAGAATCGAACCTGGGACCTCTACGAGGCAATCCGGCATGGTAACCGTTCGGCCACGATGGCAGTTAAGTTATTATCATTTAAGATCGTAAATATAAACGTTTGCAATGCTACTATCAATAACTGAATACTTCTAATCAATAACATACAATGTCTTAAATTTTATATGATAGGTATATTTGTGCTTTTAACCTTATGATACTAATTTAAATTATCATCGTACTTACGTATCTCCTTTCAATAATTTCCTTATCTTTAGGATTCTCTCTGTAACTGGTTAAATCTGTTATCGTTTCAGACTGCGTGGTTCCACTAATTGTAAGCAGTAGAAATATTTGCCCGTTCCCATCTTCTAAGTCAGCCCAAATATTGTGCGTTTTTTCCCTTGCTAATTTTGATAAATCTATAAGACATCTGAAATAATTTGGCTGTCATTATTTGTAAGAATTAAATTATTTTAATGCTGATGGTACAGCTTGAAGCTCGTCTCTCGCACATGCCATGTCCAGAAAATATGTAAATACAAATCGGAATTGTACAATTTAGCATCCACGCAATATAGTGAATAGAGCCTGAAAAGGAGAGTGTGCGCCTCCATACTAGAGTCATATTTTTTCACAATTTAATTTAGAGATGTTTTTATTTCGCTTCATCAAGATTATTGCCATTTTATATTAAATTATTTCCTTACCTTCCTAAAAAGTCATCTTTACTTTGTTTATCCTTATCCCAAACCGTGACTTCCAATATTTGTTCCTGGTCATCATATAAATGCAGATCAAACTGTTCCAGCCATGATGGATGAAGAGTTTTCCATACCACTTTGCTTTTGTATTTTTCATTGCCTAACCTGTAAAATTTTAAATAGGATTGTATAAATGTTTTTAAGGAACTTTAATTTTTATTATATATGAATGTTGATTCATAATTTAGACAGGTGACATGTTTCTGGATTGGATTTATGGGCATTAGTTTTTGTATAGCAATGTAAGTACTACAAAGTCAGCTAGTTTGTTTGTTGGTAGGGCATAACTCTAACATAACTAGTTGTAACGAGAAATTGATCATTTCTATATAAATGATGATCTTTTTTATGATACCTAGTGACGAACAAACTGTTAAATAGTGGTAAACGACACGCATACTATAACAATTGCACAGCAATGCCATTCCGAACTTTATATCACAAAAGATCTGAGGAACACTGCCACTGCACCCTTCACTCTAGACATAAAGTTGACAAGACCCTTATACCTATATATTCATCAGCATCCTTCCCCTTTAATACCGAAACGCAGTAATACTAATAACCACATTACTGTTTAGCGGCTGAAATAGCATAATGACAGTACTTCCTTGGAGGAATTCTTTCGCAAAGCGGTCTACCGCAACTAAAACTAATTACTGGATTTAAGAGGGTGACCATCTTTTATAAAAACAGCCAAATTGTAAAAGATAACTTTACCTAAATTTACAGTAAGGATCGCTAGATCGCGTGTCCAAATCCATAGCTTGCAGATTCTTCGCTTCGACCAACACAATTGTCACAACTGAACTCCAAATTTGTGCTTTGAGCTTCTTGTTTACATCACTTAGCCTCGTGTTCTTTAACAGATACTGCAAAGAATTAAACGTTTTTATAGAACATATTGGAAGCATTATACCTTTTTATGGTTATTTATAATAATTTCATATGGGACATATGTAGGTAAACGCACTTCGGTAACGTAGTGAACATAAATAAAAATATTACGTGTTATTTTCCCTATTATATGTAATAACACCATAATGATTGCCTTTTCGTAGATGTAATGTGATCACTTATTTAGGTATCTAATAATAAGTATATGTACAGTGATGTTGCACTAAAGCGTTGTTTTTTTATACTGTGGCAATAGAACAAGAACAATTTCCATAATGTAGTGGAATAAGGATCTACTTATTGTATCAATTCCATTATTCTCTGTCAGGCATAAAGTATTTCTCATTTAGATAAACATACGAACCATTAAGACACACGTCCATACACTGAATTACCTATACAAACTATAACTCTAATTTAAAGCCATAGTTTTGCATCTCACAAGGTTCAATTTGTCAATAGAATATTGAATTCAATACAATAGCTTACTTTTACTTATGTTTGCCATATACGCAAGTTGACGATGTTTAATTCAAGTTGACAAGTAACTTTACAATTGTTGTTTATTATAATATGTAAATAGTATACTCGCATACATAATCACATTGGAATAAACATCTATCGTTTATTTTTCATAAATATCGGAACTCTGTACAATATTCGCACACAACTAGCAATTAGGTATAAGTAGTAATTGTTAATAAAAAAAGAATTTAAAAGGGTGAAACAATAACACTGTACTCATGAATTCAAAGAACTTAGGTCAATTTGAACCAATAGAAATTACTTCACAGACAAATCAAGATGAACAGGTCGAGTAAAGAACTTCAAAACAGAAGTTAATATTTATGATAAAAAATCTCTACAAGTTTAGTTTCAACCTTCAAAACATAATTACGGTATTTAGTAGGTACTACTACGTTATTATTAAAAAGCGCAAAGACACCAATAATGTATTTCGACAATATGTTTTATACCCTATGAATTTTATCTCCTCCACTCTTGAGTCGTGGAAATCGATTACCAATCTTCTCAATGATCTCCGTACAAGTGTTGAATGTTTGTGTCGACATTGAAACGAGGTCTAATTGCTCAGCATGGGGCAAACTTTCTGATCGTGGTCGAAATTCTGAGTCAGGTCTGATAAAAGAAAAATAAGAAAAGTAAATAAATGAAGATTGAAATCAAGTGAAATGTACTCGTGTAAAATTAAGTAATTTTAAATTTATAAAAGAAAATTTCGGAACTGATAAAACAACGAAAAATAATTTCAATTCTGTTGGTCTTCTTAATAAAAGCTGTAAACCAATCAGGCAGTTAAAAATAATCAGACGATTTTAACTAATACATAATGAAAATGACAGCATAATTTACTATAATATTGAGGATTAGCAATCATTCACAACATTCAGTTCACAATGCGAATCAGATAACTACTGAACATTAAAACTCTCTAAATGTAGTTCTTAATTTGGCAATAACAATAAACATAAAAATAAACAAAATAATACCTTTCATCACTAGATAAGCATGTATCAGTAGAGCTCATGAAATCAGAACTATCATCCATAGCCAAATTGGACGCTGAGAAACTCCTTCTACTGTAAAGCGCCCCATGTTTCTCTACCTTTATGAAATCTTTGCAAACTACTTTGGGATCTTCTTTTACGATATCCTTAATCGATTCAGCCTCGTCAATAGTTACAGAAGGTACATTATTGTAAGTTACACATTTCTCGAAAACAACATCGGAGCCTATGGTCATGTTTTTATCTTGATCTGATCCTGTGGATAAACTGTCTTGGTCTTCAAGAGAGCTTTTGTCTTCAGATAGATGAGATACAAATCTTGATATCGATTTATTCGATTGTTCAATTTTGATCTGCACTTGATCTTGGAAGTCTTCCATACGGTCTTGTATTTTCTCTTGTATTTTCACTAAGCGTTGCTTTAAACGTTCCATCTTCTTTTCTTTTTCCGTCATTTTTGTGTTTTTCACTTTATATTTTGTACGCACTTTTATAAATTATTGTCTGTTTTTAGTTAGGTACTGTTTTTTAGCTTATCTGCTCTTTCGACATCGTATTGACCTTAAAAGGTCGGTACTTAATATAAACATCGGCACTAAAGTCGTACATTATAATGTTGGCAAGGAAGTACGTTATGCATTTTAAACTCTATCCTTATCTCGAAAAATATGTCATTACGTTGTAACAATTTCTCTCTTACACACAAATACTAGTCACGCATTTCGTTTCGTTTTTTCATTACACTATATTAATTAAACAATATTCCATTATGTTATATAAAATTCTTAGGCTTTCGTGACTGCTATACATTTGAAGTAAAAGTATTTTTCGGATCTAATTAATTTGGTAAAAATTGATGTAAAAAATATTTTTTTAAAAACGTATGTGGCGTAAATTGGATTGTTCTTTGGTAAATTAAAAATAGGTACTTAAATTGATAACTTTTTTAATTGTATTTCAGAATGGTGTGGTTGGCATTAACAGACATAACTGTTTGATGACTTTATCCTCTTAATTAACCGCGACTATGGAACCTGTAAGGGACCCGATATCAAACTTTTATGTTATACCAAAAAGTGTCATTAAAAACATAACATTGAAGGTATAATTATATTTATTGACGTTCAGATTTTAAAAAATCATCTTTTTTATTACACCAAATGACGGGACGAATAAGTCACGCGCCTGGTTTTAAATGACACGCCTGTTCATAGCAGTTGCACTGCCACTTCGCCCGTCATCCTGAGACATAAGTTCACAAGTCCCATGGGCCTGTAATTTCACCAGCACGTTTACTTATCCTTCAAAACCGGAACGCAAAAATGCTCACATTACTGCCTGGCAGCAAAGAAAGGTAAGGTGGCAGTACTTCCCAGGACGAACTCTTAATAAGAAGCTCTACTGCTACTAAAATTTCATAATTATCTAATAAGGAATAGATTAAGGACATAGATTTTATAATTTTAATCGTTTTTGCTCAGGTATGTGTTTTCATATAGCTCGATAACTATGGTAGAATATCAGAGAAGGTTATGTATCCCATAATCCTCTGTAGCTGTATCGTTTGATTATTACACTTTTAATTGTTATTAATACTTACAATCTCAAATGGCTTTGGTTGAAAAGTTTTCGGTGTGAAAACACGATTCCTAAAAATTTTCATGATAGAAAAAACACAAGCTTATATCGAAATTTTACAAGAAAACCGCTGTGTTCAATAGGTACTTTGCATATACCAATTATTTTTTTATATCAACTGAACTAAATAGAACACGTATAATTGTTTAAATGGTTTTAAGTGTCCTGCCGCTCGGCACAATCAAAATGAACCATTTAAGTACTAGTCAGTACGAGAAAATTTTGAATTCCAGCTGAGGTAAGACTGGAAGGTGAGACTCTTAATTTGTATTTTCTATTTTTATTATTGGTCAAGCTGGTGCCCGCAACTTCGTCTGCGTAGAATAAATACTTCGAGTAGCCTACGTGTACTGTACGTGAGGCGCACTATAAGTTTCCGGAATGAATAAGAAAAAATTACTATAAATGGTCAGAAATGAATTTATTGTTTCTCAAAATATTCTCCGTTAGCGTTAATGCACTTTATCATACGAATGAACCAATTTTGAAAACATTTATGCCACTCCTCCGTGACAATCTCTGAAACATATTTTTCATACTCTTCGACAGCCTCTTCAGGTGATAAAAATCGTTATTTTTACGGAGTTTGCAAATAACTTCCGGCAAACAATTGGTCGTGTACCAATTACTATTCATGGTACAACGATTCTCCAAAACAACAGTAGCCACGTGTCCAGTTTTATTAAAAAAAGAAGCAATCACCCGCTTAGAGGCACTTTGCACGCGCGCCACTTAGGTTGGTTTCGGCTCATCTCGAAAGGCCCATACACTCGATTGCTGCTTTGTTTTGGGATCGTAACTATAAATCCATGTTTTGTCACCTGTTACTATGTCCCACACCAAATTTGACGCCCCTTCGTTGAATCTGGTAAGCATGGCGTTGCACCAAGTGACGCGATCCGTTTTTAGAGCCTTAGTCAAATTGTATGGGATCCACCGAGAGCACAGCTTTTTCACACTCAAATGTTTGTAGTGTTGATTATATTTGACTCATGTTTATGCCTAAAGATGCCCGAATCTCATGGTATGTCACATGTCTGTCTGTTTTGATCATACGGCGTACAGGATCGATGGTTTTGTTGTTCACAGCAGTGGACGGGCGACCATCAGAAATTCGTCACTGAGATTCACACGACCGCGTTTGAATTCTGCAAACCAGCTATAAATAGTCGTCTTGCATGGTGCTTCATCGCCAAAAGCAGTTTGAAGCCGAGTGAAGCTCCGCTGAGCTGATAAATTACACTTAAAATCGTAGAAAATTATCCTACGAAAATTTTCACGAGTACATCCATGGTGATGTAGACAACCAATTTCTAAAATGACACCACATTGTAAAAACAAGTGACAGTCAGATGAAACAAACTGTATTCTACAGCCAAAGAGTTCCATTTCCAAATGTTGTAATTACTTTTTAAATATTGTTTACGTTAGTGGCCAGTTCCGGAAACTTACAGTGCGCCCTGTGTACTATACGAATTTTCATAGTTTTATTGGTTCTCCTTACAACCTTTAATCTCTTATTAAGGGGTGACCTTTTAAAATTAGTCTATGTCCCTCTCCTAAGTGCCAACTATTTCTATGCCAAGATTCATCAAAATTGGTTCAGCGGTTTAGGCGTAAAAACGTAACATACATAATTATTTCGCATTTAGAATATTAGCTTATATGCAAAAAATAAGAATGTGAATGAATAACTAAATCAAGCAACAATTTTTAGTTTAACTTTTCAATCCATGCCACATTTCTAAGAATACCAATCTGTTTCAATTCAGTTTTTTTTTGTAAATACGCAGAAATAAGGAAAAGTG